GGGCGCCTAGGATAAGCCACATCGATGCGCGCTTCTCTCCTTTTCCGACACCCTAAGAGATACCAGAAAATGCTGATTTTCAATTGCGAATTTTTACCCCTAAGAGATACGACGAGCATCCCCGGTACTTTTTTCCCGGAACACGTCAATATTATGCACACAATCCAGGCTAGTGAGCAACAGAAAAATTCGCCTTAAATTCAATTCTTTTTTTTATTACTCGCAGCTGTTTGAGCACGTCGAGGAAGCAGAGTGGGCGACAGAAGTCATGAAAGCCACGGGGAAACCAGTTGTTTGTTGTCTAACTATCTCAGCCAGTGGTGACCTTAATGGTGTGTCTGTGAAAGACTGTACCCTGCGTCTTGCTAAATCTGGTGAGCACTTCTTCCAAATCTCGTGCAATCTTGATGAGCTCTTACTTCGGGTTTAATTTCCCGATTTACATTCGTACGGCAAGTTGTGCGTGTGACAGTTGCGAAAATAAATCGCACCGCGTATTAGACCAGCAAAACCGAAACCGCTGTGTTCATTAATCGCAGACTCATTTACACGGGGTTAGCTCAAATCAGTGTTTAAATATTCACAAATACTAACGGCAAAGTAAAAAATGCACAACTTCAACAGTACGAACACTTTGAAACTTGACGGACCTTGACTGGAACGTGTGAATATAATGCGCACAATCAAGGCTAACCCTGAGCAAATGAGTCTGTAATAATCAAAAAACACAGCAGTAATTTGGAACTCGAAAATGGTCTAGTAATCGTACCTTTAGATGGCACAACAAAATCTAGGAACTCCTTTAATTTCGGAAATTAAATTTTGCCTCATATATAGTGATTGTATTCCTGTTTAATTTCTGCCATCAGTGTATCAATATATTTCCAAATCTATCATGAATCCTGAGTGCAATTTCCAATTGATTTTTCTTTGATGTGTTTCAGGTGCTGATGTCATCGGTGTCAATTGTTTCTTTGATCCTGATGTTTGCATCGAGACAGTACGTCTGATGAAAGCAGCTTTGGACGAAGCCGGGATAAAGAAACATCTCATTATCCAGCCCATAGGCTTCAAAACCCCGGAGAGTTTGGGCGGGAAATTTAAACTTGGCTTTTGTGGACTTCCAGATTTTCCATTCGGTAATAACTTTTAATATCGATTTATGACATCATTATAGTAACGACCGCAATAGACCTTAAAATACCGCTGTTTTCCTTGACTACAGATTCATTTACGCAGGGCTGGTTAATACTATATTCATGTCTTGATCTTATACTTCCAGGTTTAGAATCTCGTATTCTAACGCGATGGGACTGTCATAGATACGCTCGTGAGGCATATGATCTTGGCGTTAGATACATTGGTGCATGTTGTGGCTTTGAACCCTATCATGTCAGAGCTATTGCCGAAGAAGTGAGTTCATT